TGGGAACAGATATGTGACTAGAAGGTGGAATTGTGGCCATTTAAAAATAATTTAAAAAAGGGAAAGTGGTATTTGTTCTGTATGCTTATCAGAGTCTTGTTATGAAAAACAGAATTAAGCAGGCTGCTAAAATATGCAATATGATTTGTGCTAACTGTATTAAATGTATAAAGAACATCCAGATACTTTTTTCAGCCTTGGTGCTTTGTGAACAATTTCAGTGAAGCTAGGAGGTATTTGGCAAATTCCCCAGCCAGGCAACATTGCAGTATCATTTAAATTAAGCAGAAAATATTAATCTTGCAGGAACGTTTTTAAAATATTGCTTTTTAAACTTTTCTTGTTCCAAAATATATTAAACTTTATCACCAATAAATGTTTTCTTAGTTCAAGTGCATAATTCATCATACTCCAAAGGTAGCCTCGTATATTTCTCTATTGGATAGGAAAATGAACGAAATCAGCTAGCAAGGATGCCTTATTTACACGTTCTACTAGTTCTTACTGTATCTGTTGGCAAAAAAAAAGCAATAATAACTATAATTTATTACTCTTTAGTCATGTTTTATGTAGTCACTTGTGGCCTTCCATAAATGTTAAGTGCTAAATTAAACAGTTTTAGATTGACTGGTCAATTGTTCTCGTAAATATAGATTAGCATATATTTGTTATGTTCCTTCCAATCAAAAGACTCAGGTTTTGATTTTTGTTTTGTTTCTAAGACTGATGCATATTCACAGTAAATGCAGCAGTAATATGTTCTGCAATTAAAGAAAACAGAATTTTATTTAGGAAGGTTTTTTTTCAGTTCTACTTATTTTTATCAAGCTCTAAGATTAATTTTTCTCTGAAACAGTTTTTAAGCTCTGTAAAGTAATAGATTAAAAGAAGATAAACTTCATCTTTACTAAATCACTGAGGCAATGTGTCTTGGGGCTGATCTGTTACTTCACTTGTTTATATAATGCATATTCACTACTGAGTACCAATCTTTCCTAGCAATTATAGCATCATCTTTTTTTCCTTGATAACAGTGGGCAAGATGCCATTTCAATGAGAACAGTATTGGACAGTTGATACATAAATGACAGAGTAATTCATATATCCAATTCTGATGAAAATATGAATAAGTTTGGAAGTAATTATAGAGTTATTAAATTAGTTCTTATCAAAAAGTCCTATTTGAGCTGGTTGTTAAATTTCATATAGTTGTGAATATTAGATGAACTACTGTGAGGTAATGTACTTCATATGCCACAGAAAGCAAGATCTAACAGTTTGAGTGGAATGTCTGATTTCTTCCTCTGTTGCACTTTGTGTTCTAGAAGGAAAATCATGTATTTTTGTCAAGTTCTCCACAGTTCATGTAGACTGTTGACTTGTTAGATAATAAGCACCTTCAGTGCTTTGAAAAGGTAAATACAATGGCATGGATGTCTGGTTTAATTTTTTTGAGCAGTCAGATGTTTGTGAAAGTGACTGCTATGAAGATTCTTAAAGATTAAACTATAATATGGTAATATTTTCTGGTAGGCATAACCACTATGATTACCTTGACTTCAAAACTGAATGTATAAGCAGAAGTCATTTATCTACAAAAATTTTCTGTGTTTCAGGGAGCTGAAGCAACATTTTCTAGCTCAAAAACATGTACAATTCCCATAGAAACAAGTTGACAAAATGGTCAAATATGTGACCAAAGTAGACTCTGCTCATGTACTCTCATTCTGAAATGGTTTAGCTCTAATTCAGTAGCTGCAGAGCAGATTACTGGTACCTTGTACACAGGCAGGTGTTTGTTGCAAAATCTGATGAGGTGATGTTCTCTAAAGTACAAACGCTGAGATGTTATAGGAAACTCACAGGCCTCAAGGGCTGGACTGCTGGTTAGGACTACATTTATTTAAACAGGAGCCCAAAAGAAATCCAAACGCTGCTCAAGTGATGCAAACCAGCTGTACCAGCTTGCACCAGCAGCATCTGTAACTATAAACATTAAATTTGATGAATTCACAGAACTAGGTAGTACTAACTAAATTTAGCTACCATGTTGTAGAACTGAGAACAAGTTATTTCATAATAAAAAAAAAAATCATTTTCATAGAGGTAGACATTCATTGTCCCTTTACACAACCTTTCTATTCCACGTTGCTAATTTATTAATTACAGTTATCAGCATAGTTGTCGAAGAAGCAGATAGAAATGAATTTGGCAATTGTTTAACACTTCCTTCTAAATATGCTCTCTCAAGCAGTAGAGATATTTTGATGCTATTGTTTCAATAGTAATTACTCATTATTAAATGTACAGTACTGCTTAATTTCTATCCTTTCTTGCTTCACCTTACCAGGTTTAGTATACTAATACCACGAAATAGATGAAGCTAAAATAATTACATCACACACATACTCAAAAAGACAAAAAAATAGACATGTTCCTCTCTGTTGTCATTCCTCTGTTGTTACTGTTTCCTGTAATCACAGAGTCCTTATTAATCGCTCCTACAGCTGTCTTCCAGCAAAACAAGTGCAAATGAGGGAAACGGGGACAAGGCAAGGAAAATGAGGGTCTTAAAAATAAAAATTCATGTAGTTATATGTGATATCACAGGATTCTTATTTATAGCACGATAGTAGTTGTGTTTTTAATTAGATTCCTACTTATTCATTCCCACTACTCAGAATAAATCTTAACAAGCATATGAGTATTCTTTGTAGAATTTACATTAGTATGTATGCATATGCTCACAAATCTTTCTAATTTTTTTCTAGAAGTACTGAGCTTGTGGAAGCAGGCTTAACAGTTGCACATATTTCAAAGATTGTCTTACAAATCCCATCATAAATTTCAGTATTCAATTTGCTACAGTGATACTGATCCAAAAATTTCCCTTTTGCTGTTCTGCCAGAGCTTAAATTTTAAGGAAAGTTTTGCCAAAACAGTTAAAAGCATGAGGCAAGGAATCCTTGGGTAATCTTTTCTTTGGAAAATTTGACTCATGAACTTGATGTTTGGCTTAAAAGGTGGCTTTTGTATTTTGTTCGAGCATTTATGGGCTTTTGAGGTGACCTATTTAAAAAAATTAGACTTTCCAAGTTTATTCAGTTAAAAGCTTTATTAAACTGTCCCTTGCATAAACTCATGAGAGAATTTCTAGTGGTTAATCTTTCTAGACTCCAGAAAAGGGGCTTGTGTTACTCTACAGATGCTGCCTTTGACCACCTCTGTCACTGGGCCTTTGCCTACCTGGAAAAAAATTTTGCCTAAAGCTAATACGTGATGGAGGAAAAATTGATCTGTTGGGAAATATTTTAGGACAAGAAATCTGAAGAGAGGGAAACCAAGACATGGAACTGATATGGGAATTGACTGAAACACATAATGTTATATATTTTCATGCATAAATAGAATAACTTTTCATCAATGTCAGAGTCTCCTCCAGAGAATATCAGGGAAGAAGAAAGTATCTGGAAAAATCTCAGATTTAGTGAGTCATCATGGTTTTGAGCATATATGCAATTGTATAATTCCCTACTTAATTCCTTCCTCTTTACCCTAAGAGGACAGTATTTTGGATTAATTAAGACAAAATATAGTTGTAATGTCCTTTGAACATTTAGTGATGAGATAGGAAGTAAACATTTTTCAAGCAAATCTTTTGAAGGATCTTTTATGGTGGAATTAGTAGGACTCGGTCCTGTGCATCACAGGAGAACATAGACCTATAAAATCCTCAGGTTTGGGTAATCATTTCGTATGTTTGCTCATACCATATTGCTACAATAAAACATATGCCCTGTGAAAGCAGGAGTTCACATTTTAGCACCTTTTAAAAGTTCAAATCATCATCTGCAATTGCTTTTAGTAATGAAATTTAATCTATATTACTACATAATTAGTGTTGAAATAGATTGAATTAATTTGAACTGCTAATAACCAATGGTTATGTGGTATCCCTAGAAAGCAGCAGCAGTAGAAATTTAGTCCTGTTTGCATATGAAAAGACTAATTGGAAGAAAAAATTGCAATGCTCCCATTCACGCAGAGGTCTAACCTGAGTTACTTAACATCAAATTTTGATATGGAAATGCAGTGTAGTTAGCAACTTTATTTATCCGTAGATCAATGCTATTCATCTATCCAATAAAACATTATAGGAACATATAAGGAATTAAAAATAAAATTAGTATTTTACCGCTTCTTTAAGAAGAAATATGGTATGATGTGCCTCATGTTCACAGCTGGCAGAGAAATAATGAAGTAAACTGAACTATGGATTTTACAGACTGAAAGTAGGCTAAAGATGTTAAATGTAGAAGTTACAGGTGGAATTTTAAAAGAACTACACATAAAACAATAGGTTTGGGACTGTGGTTGGGATTGGAAGTCAATCATAAGACAAAACTAGAAGAGTCTGGCCTGTGTCAAAGTGATAAATTGGACTTATAGAGCCCAGAGTTCAATTTCTGGCATTGTTCTGCATGACTCAGTACTCAATCACCAGTTACAAAACCATGTGGGAAGACTGTTTTCCTTTTACAAACCTGACATGTGTATGGTTCTGTGTGGTGGCTGTGTGTGTCGCATGTGAGGAGCTGTGCCTCTGACTACCAAAGGGAAGGGGTCTCCATCCATGATCAGAGGCAGGGGAATAATCATATCAAGCAGACATAGGTAAATAAAATGTACTGACTTTTGGGGCAATAAAGCCTTCCTTTACTCCTAATATGTGCCAAATAAGCAAATTCACATACTTTTTAATTTTTCTAGGCACTAGAAAATAACTGTAGTTCAGCTACAATTAATAGCAGGTTTCTGAACGTTAACGGTAAGTACTTGTGTAAAAGATGTAAGAAAATCACTTAACCTAGTGGGATCTCAGATCTCTTTGGAAAAGCAAGATACTACATGAGTGATTGCTTATGGTGTATTACTTTGATGTTACACAGATATTTGAAAAAAAAACCATTTTTTTCTTTTCTTTTTTTCTCTCCATCTAGGAATTGTTGATATTTTTACAGAATTTGCCTACAATGCACTGGGAAAATGAAGAAGTTAGTGTACTGCTGGCAGAGGCATACAGACTTAAGTTTGCATTTGCGGATGCCCCCAACCATTACAAAAAATGAACATAAAGAACCAGAAATTGTTAAAACCAGCATGTTCTGCAGTATTATGGCATCAGTTATCCTGGTTGTGCTTTTGGTTCATTCTTCTTTTGTTTTAATTAAGATGACCATTAAAGCTCTGTTAAAATTTACAGAATGAGAATGAGATACCAAAGAAATGGACACAGCAGGGTATCAAATATTGAACGAACAAACTTAAAAGTGAACTTTCTTGCTCAATGTTAAAAAAAAAAGTTCTAATGTATTGGTCTTTTCTCCTTCTATAATTAAGAGAATTACAGTCTGTAAATTCTGTCCAATAATTGCTATATGCGCTTGAGACTTAAATTTTCTTACAGAATGATTATAGGATTATTTTGGTGTCATCTGTAATAAGTTTATCAGCCAGTATTGGCCAGTGATAAGAATTATTTATTTTAAGGGAGAAAAAAACTTCTCAGTCCTGAAGAGAATTTGAGACAGTAAGGCCCGTGTTTTGAGATTTAGTTATTTCTCAGAAGATGTTTATATTGTCATGCCATCTTTTTTTTTCTGGAATAAATTTAGAATACTTATATAGTTTAAAAAAATAGAAGGTTGCAATAAAAGGTTGACAAAATTAAAACATTTTCTAAGTACCACTAAGTCTTGTAGGGTGCATCAGAAGCCATACAAAGGAGTTACTTAAAGCTTAAGATTCATCTCTATTGCTAAAGCAAATCCCTCTATATATATTTTGGAGATTGTTTTTTTTTTTATTTATTGAATGAAGTAAAAGATGAGACATTGTTAAAATAATTAAAGCCTTTACTGAAAGGCTCTATAGTTTTTCAGTATGAAAGTTCACTTTTAAGAGATTTAAGAAGCTTGGTTTGCCAAGCAGGGTGCATTTTGATCTCAGTTGTTGCCTTATTCTCCATTTCTAGCATTTTAGAAAAGGAAAATTAACCGATCTGTCCTAAACTTATTTGTCTAAGTATTTAATAGTTTTTTTCACATATTACTCAGAGGAAACAAGAAGATAATTTCTAATAACAGTAACAGTAACTGTACTCAGATCACTTGTGTCTTTAGCAGAATAAAACTTCTCTGTGACTTTACGGAGTAAAATTAGTGTTTCTTCAATAATCATGAGAGTCTGAATAACTTCTTAAAACTTACTTAATTTAAGTGCACTATTTATTTTAGGAAATCTTTTCATATGCGGATTCTGATGTTGCTCTATTGGATGTAAATAAACTCATGTTAATTTGTGCCTACCCAATATATAGTTTCTTAAGGGTGAGAGTTGCAATAGGCAATATACTGGGAGCTCAGAACTGTTATTGCTCAGTTCAATTCTAGAGTTGCACAGTGTTGCACCAAAAATGTGTGCACTTTTTAAGTTTGGAAAATAAAAGATCTTCAAGAGTTTTTCTCTTATAGTATGTTATTGGAAGATTATTTTCAAGTCTTTAAAAATATATATTTACCTATTTTTTTAAAAAAGGCTTTCTAGATATGTTAGTTACATTACTTGTTTTAGGGGCATATAGGTTCCTGACACCCACTTTTTAAGTTACTAAGGTGTTTCGGGGTAAATAGAATACATTTTTACCAACATGTGGTTATATGAGATCTATATTTTAAAATTATATAAAAGCATAAGTAGGCTGGAAAATACCAACATAATTCAGAAGCAGCAAGGTTTGGTAACTAGGATGTATTTCTGTACTGCTGAAGTCATCTGCAGTCCTTAGTTGCAGTGTATAAAAATTCAGGCCTCCTAGATTATTGCATCCATGCCTACAGTGTGTAGTGGCTCTGTGTTTCTTAAATGTCAGTATACTCTTTTTTGTACCTTCCATTTATGGTCTAATGTATTAAGATTTATCTTTATGTTTACAAAGAATGTCATATTGTGCCTAACAGAGTATCTACCAATAACAGAATAAAAGAAACCTGAAATCTATGACCATTTGCTTTAGTTAAACTTCATATCTTCAAACATTTGTTAATATAAATGCATATTATTGTGACTAAAAAGAAGACACATAGCATTAAATGTACAATGTTGTAAGGGTTTTCTGCTATTTTTTTTTTATGAAGATGTTATTTAGGTAATTACATGTAACATAAAAAGTTGACCAAGAGTGGTCTGCTGTGTCAGATGCTTCTGCTTAACATATATGATACTGGATACATAAAATTTCCTTCGCCGGGTCCACGTAAGTTGACTGCCATGTCTTCCAAATTCAACAGGTACCTCTTACTTTCCTTTGAAGAAAGTATTACCGTGTTACCAAGAGAGGTCACATTTACTACTGTGTCTGTGTCAGAAGTTGAATATTGTACTTGAGCACATTGCTTTTTAAAGATAGTGGGACTTTTCCTAAAATAATACCAATGTTTATTAATTGTGTAGAGGGAGAATTCTCTGGAAAATATGATATAGGTACATAAATGATATTTATATATCTATAAAAATAGAAATAGTTTTCAGTAAATAGAAGGCCAACATCATTTATGTAAAATTTCCAAGTTTCAATACTTTAAAATTTACATGAAGTCATTTCATTTTGTTAAAAAATACGTAACAATTCTACATCTCAGGTAAAATGTTATTCAAAAAAAAAAAAAAAACCATAGAAAATGTTGTAATTTTATCATTCTTACATCCCATGTGGTTGTTTTGTCAAAATTCCAGATTCTGAGTACTATACAATTCATTTGTAAAATGTATTTTCTTATTAAGGAGGCATCTGTACACATCACTAATGAATCCAGACAGCAATTTCATAGAACTGATGTGAAATACTGAAAATTACCGTGTCTCAAATGTATGTTAAAAACTTTCTGTAATAACAATGTACAATAAAAAGAGATTCATAACAACAGTGTTTGAAAAGTGTAAATAAATTAGTCAAATATGTAAATATAATACATGGAATAAAATAGAAATGTAAGTTTGAAATCTTATGTAAGTCTGTAATTTGTTACAAGAAATTAGTGACCTTATTTTTTGGCTCAGTTCCATAGAGAAAGGCCCATAAATTTGTTTTTAACTTCGTAACTGTAGACTAAAAGTATGCAAGGTTCAGTTGTATGCTTCTGACAAATATTAACCCTGAGACACTGGCTAAAACTGTAAAAGTGATGAAAGATGAGGAAATAAATGCATATTTATGAAGTGCTATATAGAGTGGAAACTTTTTTATTATTATTATTTATTTATTGTTTTCATCAAACACACTCCATAGCACATCAAAATGTGGTTTTAGGTCTGGTTTTTTTCTATTTTTTTTTTTCCATCTTCATATCCTATATCACAAGAGCAAAAGCAGGGGGAAAACTCTGTTCCCAGTTACATTTCTGCAGCTCCCTGTCCATGCATCTTGTAGCTTTTGCAAGTTAGTAAGGCAGACAATCTGCATGCACTGTGTAACTACAAGTACTGAGCTTCTTACATGAGAAGCAAATGAGAATAAATTTGAGTAACAGGCAGATTTAAGCTGGGAGGAAGCCTATGAAATAAGGAAAAAGCAAACAAACGAGGAAGTCCAGAATTTTGTGGGCTTGGGAGGTGAGGAGAAGAAAATTCAGTTCAATGTGGGGCAGTGGAAGAGCTGCTAAGGTCTGGAAACTGGAGAATGATAAAAGCAGAGCAACAAGCAAGGAAATCATGTTTTATGTGTACGGAGAGGATCAAGTTCCCTGCTTCAAGGAAGCTGGAGGAGGAGTTCCAATAATTAACATCGTGAAGAATATAACAAGCTTTGTTATGTGAAAGGCAAAGTTAATTACTCTTATTACTCCAAATGCAGAACTGTTAAACACCATGCATGGCTTTCAGGAGGGAAAGGAAGACACCTTTCTGTTACATGCCTGAGTGACAACAAATTGCCATCGTGCTGGTTTTTCACCCTGAATGGAATTTGTGTTTCTCCATCTGCCGATCCTGCATAACATCAACAAAGAAATAGACTTCAGATTACTTTTTGAAAAGCTCCCGAAATCGAGGGTGGAATAAAGGTCCTAAGGTTTTCACAAGAGACACGCTGGGAGACTGAGCTGAAAGCTGTTTCCACATCTGCACATAAAAATGTATAGCAGTTATGGACATCTCATATTCTGGGCAAGCATCACAGAGATTTAAATGTAAAGTATAATAAAAGGACTTTCCAGAAATCAGACCCGCACTTCAGATTTCCTCCTTTAAAACAAGGGAGAGGGGAAAAAAAGGCTTTATAGATGCCTAGAACAGTAATGCCTCTAAATTCTTTGGAGACGGGAAAAGTAGAGAGGGGTAGCAGTGTCCCCAGTCAAACAATTGCTCACAGACAGCGCCTTGCCACCAGCTTCTACTCATCTATGTAAAAGAACTTCAACTCAAGTGCTTCTAATCAGTGTATGATGGAGAGTGAAGTCCCTGAACAATTTAATTCCAGATTAGTAGCATTTTTATAAATTAAAACTAAGAACTTGCATCCCATATGATTCCTTAAGCTGAGTATAGTTGAGGCAGCACCAGAATAAATAATTAAATCGCTACAGCACCGCATCAAAGAATCTCTTAAGGCTTCACAAGCTTTTATATGCAGCCCTCATTCAAGTCAAGACACATGCAAGATACGAGAGACTAACAGAGATACTATGGAAATCCTCTCAAAGACAAGTGCTCTGAAACTTAGATTTAGTCTGAAGTGTCTGAATGAGAATTAACGTGCCAGTAAAGCATGGTCGTGTGAACTGGGATTTCAGATGTTTGCTTGTGTATGAACTTCCTCAGCACAGAATTTTAATGTTCAAGTTTGTCACCAGTGCAGACTGAGCTCCTTTGGAACATAAGCTTCAGGCACGAGCTTATAAACTTGAACAGCAATGCAGACAGTCCCTCTGTTCCTAATACAGAATTAGCTGGAAACATCTAGAATTTCATTTTTCACTGATTTGACTTCTGTAACACCTTGATTTGGGAAACCAGCAATATTCCAGATGTTTCTCACCTTACCATCACTTATCTATGCCTATTCAGAAATTTCTTATGTGGGAGTGAAGGCCCTCCTGAATTCAGAGCAATAAACAAATAAATAACCCACAGGGAGAATAAAAGGGGTTTATTGCCATTAATTTCCTACCCGCAGAAAGGATGCAGGTTTCCTGACAGCGCACCTCTCAAGAATATTTGTACAAATTCATCCTCAAATTCAGGCTGCTGACTCTGACACACAGCTTTTGAAATTCAGAATATTTTTACATATTTCTGTCTTCTTACAGAAGGAACTGAGATTTCCAGTGAACTGTTCCTGCTACCAATACAAAGGACTTCCATACAGTCAAATCCTTTCACTATTTTAGCAGTATCAAATATACTCACAAAATATGTAGCTGTCATGAGAGCTCATGCAGGGTAACAGGATGCCCAGGAATACAGATAGTTAAATGGCTATCCTGCTATCATAAAATGCCATTTTAACATGTAAGGTAAATCAACAGACCTGGAAATTTTTCAAGTCTCTTGAAACCAAGTCAGTGGCTC